GAATCACATTATCTCACAGCGAGGCCAGAAACTCCATTTACTAGTGTACAATTGTGGTTAGGTCTTTCCTTTTCTTGAGTCTTAATTGTCTCATTTTTTAAAACTTTTTATTATTATTATTATTATTATTATTATTTTGTGCGTGTACTGTCAAATCGGATCTGACTGGTACAGGAGGAGACTGCCCCACCTTCTCCAGCAGAGCATCTGGTGGATTTGAACCACACACCTCTGGGATTGCAGTGCAGCTTCTTGCCAGTAGGCCACCAGAGCTCACCAATTTTCTCATTTCTATATGAGTAATAATTCCTACCTCTAGTTTGTCCTAGACGAGGCATCAGATAAGACAGTGGATTTCTTTGTACCTTGTTAACCAATGATCATGCACCTTAAAAAGGATGTAATCATTGTATCCAGAACTCTGGGCTGTGTCCAACCTGGCCACCAAGCAAGACAGTGGATTCCACTTAAAGAAAGGCAACAGGGATAGATACGAGTAAGCAGAAGTGATGACTGACAGGATGCAATATTTTGTGAGAAGGAAGATTCTAGTGTGTATCCTTGCACTTCTTGTACAGCCTTGGGGAACCCCATCAAGGATAGAGCTGGACAACACTTGGAGACCACCTCTTCATTCTCATCACACCATGGAGACCAATCAAAGCTACATAGCAAGTTAGTGGTCATGGAAGTACAAATTTTGACTTGCCCCCAAATCTTGCTTTTCTCTGTTGAGCTGTCAGAACCCTTGAAAATGGACTTTTCCAGCCATTGTGTTAGTCTCCATTGGGGTACATGGTCTCTAGCTATCTTAACTCTGGACACATTGTCTTGCAAATCATCAAAAGCTGTGGGATCAATATAAGAGATGTGAGAGACGGTGGTGGAGAGAGGGTGAAGAGACTGTGACACTGCTATGAAGTAACTGGCAAAGTGTAGCCAGGGGAATCTTGGAGGTAGGGCCACAGTTACAGGTTTTGCTTGCTGGATAACTGAATGAAAAGCTGACTTGTAACTGCTCTGAGATAAAATTTGCTGGACTAATTGAGGAAACCAAAGGTTTATTTGTGTTACTGAACTGAACCTAGTCTTTCACTTGTTGTAGCTGTCTGATCTAATTGAAGAACTGTGTCTTGCCGTTAATCTGGCTTGAGACTGTTGGACTAAACGTGGACTTGCATTATATGATTCTCTCTCTCTCTCTCTCTCTCCCTCCCCCCTCTCCTTCTCTCCCTTCCGCCCCGACCCACCCACCGGGTGTGAGATTCTTTACCTATCTCATTCCTCAACCTATTTCCCTAATAATCCCCACAACTATGAGTAAATTCTGTGAGTCAATTTGCAACAAACTTTGGACCCAATGATCTTTAGAAATAGGTGCAGGAGCAAGGGGGGGGGTGGCATGTCTGTCCATGCAGTTATTTGTATGGTACTATGGATATTATTGAAGGGGACTGTTCCCCTTTATGAAGCAGGCAAAAGTCAGACTCAGCCATCCGCACGTTGTACCTTCCTTTTATATCTATCTTCTGTTTCTTCTCTTTCCCCCCTCTTTGATTTCTTCTAACTACCAGGATTTGCTTAAGCCTTTCCCATCATCACTAAAAAACTTCATTGCTACGGAGTTGGAACCAACTCATAGCTGACCCACCAGTGGGCTTTCAGGGGGCTTTATATTACACAGGATGAAACTGCCCATCTTTCTCCTGAGGAATCACTGGTAGATTCAAACTGCCAGAGAGGTGTGGCCTTTGAGTTCACAGATCAACTCTCTATGGACTGAGGCACAGAGCTTCCCCTTTTGCTATTCCATATCTATAGCTAGCCTCTGCCCTGTCTTTCTTTTCTTATTTACTGACAAACTTTTTAGAAATCTTTACACTGTTTTCTTACTTTACACCTCCTCAGCAACAGTTTCTGCCTTCAGCCCTCTTGACAGTGCTCTCTGCCATGGTACCCAGAAGTTTCTTTGTTCTGTCGATGACCCTTTCCATCCTTGTCTTACTGAACCTCTCAGCCACCACAAACTCCTTGCTTCTTCATTTTCTTCCTCTGCTCTTGCTCCAGGGTTCTGTTATCTTTTCACTCTATAGTGTCTCCTAGGTCTGTGTCCTGCCCTCTCATAACTTCACCTACCATCCACAGGCCAACAGCTCCCAAATCCCTACATCTAGCCCAGGTTTCTCTCCAGACCAATAACATACCCAAAAGCTGTGGATACCTTTCAGGTATCTTCCAGGAACTTCAGACTCAATGTGTGCTCAGCTAAAACGTCCCTTGGGTTCTCTACTCAGTCAAATAACTGGACATGTAAATACACACTAGAATCCTCCCTCTTCCAGAATATTATGTCCTGCCACTCATCAACTCTGCTCTCCCATATCTACCCTCACTGCCCTTCTCCAGCCCAGGCCATTTTCACTTGTCAAGTAGATCCCCACAATGCCCTCTACCTTGTCCCAGCCTCTCTCTACCAGACCAGTCTTCACTCAGCCTATTTTGGAAAGCACACATCTAATCAAAGGATTTTAAACCCTTCCAGAGTTCTCTGCTGGGTTCAGGATGACGCTAAAGCTTCTCAGCTAGCTATTCAATCTCTTTTACTCTTCTCCTCAAACTTTATTACCCAGCAATAGTAAGCTCTTTGTGATTCTCCCCATAATATGCTACTTTGAAGAATCTTTCCTGCAATTTTCTCCTCCTATATCATCTATCATCAACCACCCTCCCTTTTATCCATTTACCTTTTTTTCCTGACTCTTTAGCAACAAGGTTGGTGAGACTATCTGTTGGTAGCGCAATTCCTTAACTTAAGCCACCAGATTTGCTTAAACAAACATTCACAAGTTAAGCCTTGTATTAATGACACTAAGTATATTCTCTGCCTAAGTGAGGAGGTATTGATGTATTGACCATGACCCCCAAGGTCAAGAATGTTTAAGGTAAAAGTTTCAGTTAAGTCCATCAGAGAACCCAGCTCAGGAAGGCAACTTGGCCTTCATCAGAACAAGTATACAGGAAAATCCTTCCTGTCATGAGACCTTGGAGCTGCAAGAGAGTTGTGCAAGAGACGAGGTGGAATGGGGTGCAGGATGGCTAGGTTTCACTACATAAATGAGCTTTCAGATTTTCCCATTTACAAGCTTGTTCAGAACTATCCCCAGAGTCTCAGGTTAATCCTGTGCATAAACAATGGTGAGTCTTCTCAATTTGCAGTTAGAGGCTGTAAGAGGAGATGGACATCATCCAACTCAGGAGACCAGGGAAGGTTCCAGCCTTGTTCCTCAGACTGCACACTCTCAAATCAAGCACAAAGTGGGTGGGCAGAAGGAATTTGGGAGAAAGGTGACACCTGTCTCTGGACCTCAGAAATCTTCGAGACAAAAATCAAGGCTTGTTCAAGGAGGCACAGACAATATCTAGGATCCTCTAAGTGGCTGCATCTGCCAGAATGCCAGGTCTTGGGCCACTCCACACTACTCCCTGAGGTCTCCAGTCAGGAATGAGGAGTGACGAGGAGTATGATGTAGGATAATTAAGGTAATCTGTACTAAGAAGCATCAGCCCAGGAGTCAACAGGCCTGGGTTCTAGCCCTGACTTCACCAGTCATCAACATGAGGCTTTGGGGAAGATATTTGCCAGTCTTGAACCTCCATGTCCTCCTCTCTGAAACATGGATAATTTCCTACACAGCGTTCCATCTATTCTTAGATGAGCATTAAGTGAAACTACAGTGTTAAAACATCTTTGAGCTGCAAGGAATTGTACATGTGGAAAGGATAAACCACCAATGTATGTCCATAATTGTCACTGGTAGGCCTTCATCCCAACTGGGGCTGGAAATCTGGCTGCCAAATCTTGGAAATCCTCTGAGGCAAAGATACTTCAGCTTATAGCATTGGTCACAGTGTAGAAGAGGTAGAAGAATATTAGTCTGGAATAAGAGACTTGGCTTCCAACTTTAAATCTGCTATTAACCAGCTTTATGGCTTCAGGCACATACTGTTCCTCCCTAAACTCGGTTTCTTCATTATAAAGCCTAGCTGGCAATTGTTAAGATCCCTGGGATACTGGTTGGGAAAGTGCTTTGAGGCCCCTAAGCTTGCCCACCTCTCCTGGCTAACCTAAGAGTTAGCCTCTCAGACACAGTGCCAAAAAGCTATGAGGGGGCTGCCCATTAAAGGAGGTGTCAGAATTGGAGTTCTGTGGGCAGAGGCTGTGAAAGCAGGGGACAAGAGCATGGAAGCAGATAGGGGCAGGGACCAGGAAGCTGAGGGAACCAGCACTGGCTCTTCCCATGACTCGCTGTGAGTTTTCAGTCTACTCTACACCCCTGATACAGGCCATGGTCTTCGCAATCACTTGTTATGCATCAGAGAGTTGGACAATGACCAAGGAGGATAGAAGGAGAATTGATGCCTTTGAGCTGTGGTGCTGGAGAAGAATATTGAGACTACCATGGACTGCTAGGAAAACAAACAGATTTGTCCTGGAAAGGGTTAAACTGGGTTGCTTCTTGGAGGCAAGGATTCTGAGGCTCCATCTAACATACTTTGGACATGTTGTGAGGAGAGACAGGTCCTTGGAGAAGGACATCATGCTTGGGAGGGTGGAGGAACAGCGCAGGAGGGGAAGGCCCTCTATGAGGTGGATTGATTCAGTGACTGGGATAATTGGGATAGGAGTGTCAGAGACAGTGTGATTGGCACAGGACAGAGCGGAGTTTAGGGCTGTTGTATATAGGGTCGCTACGCTATGAGTCGCAAGCGACTCAACGGCACATAACAACAACAACAACAACTACTACTACACCCCTTCTGGATCTTTTTCCACTCCTGCATCATAGGGATAGCCAGGCCTGCCTTGTGGAGTCTATGAGAACACACAGGTATCTGAGTATGAAAACAGCAGGCTGAGTTGAGGGGTAATGCAATTTCTTATTTATTAATATATAATAACAAAAACGATACGCTTATCTGTGCAACTATTTAGGTCTTTGTTATAAGGTCTTGGTAACTTTGTCGGGACTGGCCGTGACCTTCAGCTCTGGGGTCTGGGCTAAGAAGACGTTCCCGTGACCTGCATGGAAGAAGGCAGAAGAGTTGTGTGTGTGAATGGGTGCAACAGAGGCAGAGTGCCTAGGGGGTGGGCAAGCTTAGGACCAGGAGGAAGAAGGTAGGTGTCCCTTTCATATAGTTCTGACATGTGATCTGGACTGCAGACACCCTATGCCTGTAGGCTGGGCTGGCTTTCAGATACCTCTCATTGCCTCCCTCACCTGCAGCCCCATCTGGGCTCACCTTCCTAACTGTGCTGTAGAGTAAATAAAGGGTATCAGAGTACTTCTGAGAGTCTCGGAAATCTCACCCCACCAGCCAGTGGGAAATGTTCTCACAGAAAGGGGGCAGCACTGGAGTTGGGAAGGTTCAGCCATTCCCTTCAGCAGCCAGGCTTCCTGCTGCCCCTAAGTCCAAATCTAGCCAGCTCTGCTTCACCTTCCCGCTCGCTCACCAAGTTGGGAAATCTCTGGCCCAGACGCCCACTGAATTCCTGTGCCGGGAACTGACGTCTGTGGCTGACAGCCCCCCCTCCTGGCACTGGCTGCCTGAGAACTACCAAAAGGTTTCAGCCTCTCTCCCTGCTCTTGTTCCCAGGCCCATTCCTCAGCCCGGGTCCCACCTTCGTGGGTGCTGGTGAGTAGCCGGAAGTTCTGCGCCTCTTTCTGGAAGTCTTGTTTCCTGACTTTCTTGATCTGAATCAAGTGGAAGATTCCTGAGGGCAGAGATAAGGGCATGAGCAGGACTTTTTGGTCAGTGAAACAGGTGACTTACATGCAGAACTGACCTGGTCATCTCTTTCCTCAACTCCCATTCTGACTGGATGCCAAATCCCATTGATTAATGTAATTAAATTTTGAATCTCTTCTCCCATCTTCACTACTGCTCTCCTCATTCAGATTCCATCATGTCTCACTGGGTCTCTGCACTAGGCTCCTGACTTCTTTCACACCTCCTCCAATCTATAACCCTACCAGTCATCAAAGATGCACACGCTCCCCTAACATTCCTGTTCCCTAACCTCCCATCATCTCCACACCAAAGTCCACACACACACTGATCTTTTCTCTGCCAAGTGTGCCCCAGTCACCATCACCATTCTGTTCTCATACAGCTCCTTTGTCCACAGTAGAGGATGTGAAGGTGGAAATGGGGAAAGAAGGAAGAAAGGAAGGATGGACAGGTCAACCTATATGGGTTTGCCAGGCTATTCTCTGGACATAAATCATAGGATAAAAATCAATAAGTGTACTTTTCAGACACTAAATATCAAAAACCTAACAGCCTTCTACATTCTAGCTCCCTTTCAGCTCAAGGCTCAGTTCACCCACCTCCCCCCACCTCCAACCCCATCCCCAAGGGGCCTGGCCTGTGCTCCAGCCAGAACCAGCTCCTTGAAGTCCCCTGAGGAGGACAAGCCTTAGCACATACTACTCACTTTGCTGGAACACTTTCTACCATTGCCCTGGTCTTCTCATCCTCTAGGCCTTGGTTGGGATGGTTTCCTTGTCTTACTCCTCAGTTGTAACTTCCTCTTTGGGGCATCCACAACCCTTGGCTTCTGTTTGTCATGGTACCTATTTCTAATGTGTCTATTCTTGTCTCCCCTACCAGACTGGGAACCCCTGGAAGGCATTCCTCTCCGGGCCATCAGAGCCTAATCCATATTTGGCATATAGAACCAAGGAGTGAGTTCCTAGGTGGATGTATCGATGAGTAAATATATGTATGTCTAGGCCAGACCCTCAAGTTGAAAGGAGTGTTAGATGAGTTCCCTGACATATATATCCCATGGAACTCTGGTGACAGGATGCTACTGGCATCACACGACACTGAGGCTTGGAGTGCACAGCCTTTGAGATTGTCCCAGCTGTTACCACCAGGGTTTGTGGCCAGAAGAACAGATGCAGCCAGCAAGGCCCATACTAGGCCAGCACCACCCTCACCAAAACCAAGCACTGGCCTTGCTTTTGGGACTCAGAAGGGGATCCCACCAAGGGGAGCATAGAGAGTACTGGTCTTAGGCTTGAGTTGCAGGAATCAGGGAATATCCACACTGTTCTTGGGGGCCACTGCCCAGATGCCAAAGACAAAGACATGAAAGAGACCTGTTGCAAAGGCAAGTGGAGCACACACTTGAGTTTTATTCAGACACCCACATCACAGAGGGAGGCAACAAGCATGACACAGGCCCAGGTCCTCCTGCAGCCAGCCTGTCACTGAGACCCCACTGGGGCACAGAGGCAGCCTAAGGGGTGTGAACCCTCTAAAAAAGATAAACTGGAGAGGGACAGGGTGACAGGGATGATGACGGGCCCCAGCACTACAGCAGTAAAGGCTTTTTGGCCTGGATTCAGAAACTAGCCTGAGGGTCATGCAAGTGCCTCTCGCTCTGTGAAGAGCTGTACTAAATCTGAGGGGCAGCTCGGCTTTGTGGTAAACTGGGACTGGTGGATGAGCTCCAGTTCAGGCTCGGCTCACTGTGAAGAAATACTCCTCTGGGCAGAGCATTCAGGGTGTTGAAAATATAGCTTGCCTGGGGTACATGCAATCAGAGGCTAGGAAGGCTGCAGGAGAACATTCTTCTTAGACAGGGATTAGAATGGAAGCTCCTGAACATTGCTCTGCTAGAAAATGTAGACAATCTAAAAGGTCTTTAACCTAAGTTCTCTACTTAGATCAAGGTGGGTGGGACTTGCCCCTGCAGCGTTGCCCAGCTTTGCAGTTTGAAGCATCCACTTACTCTTTTTCTCCAGTTCAGTTCTCCCCTTCTTCTCCCAGCCCCCAAGCATATACTGTTTCCATATAGCTTTTGGGTAAACAGAGCAAGCAGTTCCCACTAAGGCTCAGACTTAGGGGGTGTTTGTATTTTGACTTGCACCATCTGGACCAGGGAGTAATGAGGCAGATGATGGGGTACTAGGTAAACTATGGGGGGTCAAGAGATGCAGAGGATGTTTGCCCTTGCAGGGTGGTGAGAGCAGGCAGTGTGAAGTTGAAGAGTCCCCTTACCACCACTGTGTTGAAAGGAAGTTTTGGTGAGATTCTCTTGAGCTACACCCTCCAGACCCAGAAGTCAGCACTGAGGTAAGACTTGGGTTTGAATCCTTGCTTTGCTACCTAAACTATGTGACTTTGAGCAAGTAATTTTACCTCTCAGACTCAAGTATTTTTGTCTGCAGATTGAGGGCATTAAAATAGACCCCTCAGATTTATTTTGAGGATTAAATGAGGCACATTATAGGAAGTATCTCATTAACCAGAGTGCTTGGGCTTAGGAGCTAGAATTGGAAGTTGCTTCTATTGCCCTGCCTGCAATGCACCCTGCTTTGCTTCTTTACATCCTGTCCAGCCCTGAGCCATCCTCCATGAAGCTGTCCCACCCCCCCTAGCAAGCCTTAAGTAAAAGTGCAGCCAGTACCCGTTCAGGGATAACAGAACCTTATAGCTCAAAAATCTCATAAGGTTTACAAACCCCAACTTCTCGACTGTTGCCAGAATCTCCACCCTGCCCTCTGCTTGCACACATGCCCTGAAGGTACACGCTGCTCACTCACTCCCTTCCACTGTGGGAAGGTTCTATATATGTAAAAGTTCTTCTCATCAAGCTGTGCCTGTGTCACACTAAGCAGTTGTGGATTAGAATGAAAAGGATACTAATATTTTAGCACCTGCTGTAGATCAGGGACTGTATCTGTGTTATATTATTTAATCCTCCCCAAACCCTCTGCCTCAAATATCAGAAGAGAAAACCAAGGCCCAGGGAGGTCAAGTGATTGCCTGAGATCACACAGCTAAGAGATGGCAGAGTCGGGATTCGAACCCAGCTCTGTCTGGTTCCAAAGCCCCTGCTTGTTGTTCTGATCCTTGAGGTCACCTAGAACACGGCTGCTCCCTCTGCTTGGGGCAACCCTTCAGAGCCATGAAGCCAGCGGTCCTGTCCCCCTGAGTCCTCTTCTCCAGTCTGAACAGCTCCGCTTCCTTCGTCCATTCCTCCTATGACAAGGGGCAGGGTAGAGCAGGGAAAGAGCCACGTCTGATGTCGCAAGACATGGGCTCTAGCTCCTGCTCCTCCACTTACTGGCTGTGTGGCCTTGGGCCAGGTACTTCACCTCTCTGAGCCTCAGTTTCCTCATCTGTAAAATGAGGGTAATAATGCCTAACTCTCACAATCCTTGAGGATCAAATGAGATAATAAATGTGAAAGCACTTTGCAAACTCTCAAGTGCCATGCACATTGGCGGTCATTATCGTCATTATCACTCTCCCACCCCCACTCTAACCCCAGCCAAACCCATCAGTAGAGGAAAGGGACCGCAGAGTAAATTTACACCAAAGCGTTCTATATGGATCATGGCTTAATGTTTCACTGTGCCTGGGAGATTGATGTTTCAAAGTTGGCAGTTGTTGCTGCTGGTTGCCCTCAGGTTGATCCTGACACATGGTGACCCCATATGTACAGGGCAGAACTGCTCCATGGGGGAATTTCAAAGTCATAAATGACCAGAAGCAGATCACCCTGGGTGAGAACTGCCAACCTTTGGGCTAGGAGTCAATGTCTTAACCATTTGTACCATCCAGGGGCCTTTTAAAGGGAGAATCACAAAACTGGACTCTCAGTAATTACCAATTGGCCTTCAGCTGGTGATATGAATATACTGCATGCTGAATACAGTGCATTTCTTAAAGAATGAGAAATCTGTTCTGATGTTGCCTTAACTTGCTGTGGTAGAATCTGCCATGAAAAAAAGATTCAAGGTCCTCAGGCTTTGAGGAAATTGTGTGGACACTTTTGCCTGAGAATACTTCCCTAGCTCAACGGACAAAGTATAGAAAATCTACCATTAGAGATCTGTTTGTGTTTCAGGCCAGCATTACTCTCTCCTGACTCCTTTCAAGGTGCAACAACTCCTTCCCCCAGGAGAGGGAGCATTTTGAGGCCTTGGCATCTCAGAGTGAGTAAACTTGTCAGAACTATCAGAAACGCAAAGACTCTGAAACATTCTCTTCCTATGTCCTGGGATCAGGGACTTTTAAACCTGGAGGAGCAGGTGGAGGCAAGCTTTTCTGAACCAGAGGCATGTGATCAGCATGACATTCCTAAGGCCCACAAGGCGCTTGCGCACATGCAGGGGATAGGCTAAGGCTCACCTTTCACCAACTTCCAGAGGTAGATCTCCACCTGGTCTGAAGCCTCACGCTCGAGGGCAAAGCGCCGCAGATTATCAGGACTTGGAGACACTGCTGTGTGGACGACGACCCGGCTAGGCACCTTTGGACACCTGGTGGCATTGACCTCAGGATAGCCAGGATCAGCTTTGTCCTCTAGGAGAGACATGGACTTCGTGAATGCTCTTCCTGCCAAACCCTGCTAGACCCAGGAAAGGGCCATTGGTTGACATCCTCTTCAGGGGCTCTATGTCTTTGGGAAAGTACTGGTACCCTCGGGAAGAGAATGAGCTCTCTGGGGAGGGAAAGGGAGCAATCCCCCCCGTCCCCATTTACATCCCCTCTATTAGTACTTCAGAACACTTCAGGGACCAGCTCACCTGCCTCCTCCAGTAGACCACCTGCCCTGCAATAGCTCGGCCTACCTTGATTTCTCCCACCAAAGTTTTCAACAGCCTCTTGCTTATAGATATGGGTAAAGGTTACATAGCACAAATGTAATTGATATCACTAAACAGTACATGTGAAAAACACTGAATTAACAAATGTGTTATATATTTAACCACAATTTTTGAATGTCTACTTCATTAGTAATATAAACTTTCTTGCTTATGTCAGTCACTTACGCCTCAGTCCCATGCTGCCTTGCAGTGCCTTATAACTGTTTCAGTCAAGAACATTTTAGCTCTAAACGAGACTCTCATTGTAAAGGTCATGGACTGTATCTCCTGTATTTTGAATCACTGGCGGCACCACTAAACAAAGACTCTCAATGAACAGAATGCAAGGCCTGGAATGTTGAGAAGTTGATGGCAATGATTATGTTAATGTGTGAGGATGGAAGAGGTGCTGAGATCACGATGACTACCGTGGTGGGGACTAGAGTGGAACTGGATCCAGCCTGAAAGCCTTGATGTGCCAGCAATCCAAGGGCATTCCCACAACTTTGTGTCTACCAGCACTCCTAGACCATCTTCCAGAGACTGAAGGGCTAAGCCTCACTCTGCCCCTACTTTAGAGCTTTAGTAGTTAGGAAGTCCTCCTGGATCTCTATCTATTGGAGTCAAGGGCGTAGCTCAAGACCATATGTGTTTGTGAAGGAGTCCAGGAGCGAGTCAGTCTCAAAGAAAATTCAAGTTGAATTCCCACCCCTACTGTGTCCCACACCCCATTCCTGGCTCTTTCCTAATAGCATATTGTTGTTGTTCTGTGCCATTGAGTCACCTGTGACTCATAGTGACCTTATGTACTCAGGCCTGGACTCTCTTCTATCCTGAGCCAGTCTTACTGTTTCTGACACACTTACCCCCATTATCCTGGTCACTGTGTCAATCCACCTTATCTGGGGTCTTTCTCTCCTGCACTGCCCCTCTACCCTTCCAAGCATGATGTCCTTCTCTAGGGAATGGCCTTTCCTGGCTACATGCCCAAAGTATTGAGACAAAGCTTCAAAAATCTTGCCTCCAGAGAGCAGCCTGGTTTCACTCTCTCCAGGATAAACCTGTTTATTCTCCTGGAAGTCATGGTATGTTCAAAACTCTTCTCCTGCACCACTCAAAGGCATAAATTCTTCTTCTGTCATCCTTGGTTATTGTCCAGCTCTCTGATGCATATAGCAAGTAATTGTGAAGACCATGGCCTGGATCAGATGTACCTTAGTTTCCAGACTGACATAGTTGCTCGTCAGCACTTTTGGGAGGTTTCTGACAGCAGATTTCCCCCAGAGTAATGCATCTTTTGATTTCCTGACTGCTGGTGCCAAGAGTGTTGATTATAAAGCTGAACAAGCTGAAATTGTTAACAAACTCAATCTCTTCTCCATCTATCATGGTGCTGCCAATTGGCCCAGTGGTAAGAATCTTTGTCTTCCTGATGTACTCTGATAAATAATAATGATCTTTCATGTTCAGATTTCAATTTACAATCCACAGAGCATTTTCATTACTCTGCATCTAAGGCTCCGAATGTAACTTGTCTGAGCTCATGGCAGTAGCTTAGAGAAGTAAGTAAGGAAGCAAGCAACTCAAATATCCTGGCACTGAACTCCAGGAGAGATGGAGACATAGAATAAATTTAATTACTCTGTTGTCTCATTTGTGAAATACCCTAGTTGTAAGTGTTACATGACATATGCAAATCACAGTACAAGACCCACCCAACATATAGTAAAAAAACCCTCTCATCAAGTCTGGAAGCCTGAGCTTTTAGCTTCAGTTCCACTACTACTTTTCTGTGTGTCATCTCTGTATCTCAGTGTTCCCTAGGCAGATGAATGATAAATGGGATAGGAAGACAATCGTGGTTGAGAGCACGGGTTTTGGAGTAACATAGACCTTGGTTCAAGTCCCAGTACTGTCACTTACAGCTGTATGACCTCATTCAAGGTACTTAACTTTTCATTCTATAAAATGAATATATACTGACTCTGTGCATTGTAGAGAGGAATCAGGTAATTGATGCATGTAAAATACCCACCTAGCACACTGGCAGTGTTCAGTAAACACTGGTGATGCTTATTACAAATTCCAGTAGCCTGAGATTTCATGACTTCATGAATCCTGACCATTATCTGATTCTGTATTATCATGTGTGAGAGCTTCTGAATCTGTTACTGTAACATTTGATGGTTCTGTGACTCTAATAGTTAAGAAGTCTGACATTTTCCATGCTTTTGTTTCCTTTAAACCCTGAATCCATGCCCTTCCATGCCTGAGATATTCCAAGTGCCTGTGACCCTGGGCCAAGAAGCTCAGGGCTCATTCTGCCCATTGTCCTCCCTGTTCCCTGTGTCCATCACCCTCCCGGCCCCCACCAGCGCCTCTCTCTACCTGGGCAAATCTTGCAGCACTTCCCAGCCACTTTCTCAGGGTGGTGGCAGGGGTATTCCGTGGGGCAGGTCACACGCTGGCAGTCCTGGCGGCCATCATGACAGGTGCACAGGATGCAGGGCAGGGGTCCAAAGGAGCGGAAGGCTGGGTGCCACACCTCTCCGTGGGAGTATGTTTTCCCACTGTGCACGCAAGCTGGGCAGGGACAGGAAAGAAGGGGGGGTCAGCGCCTTGGATGTAGGCTACAGCCTCTGACCCAGCAAGAGTGGGGCCTTGAGAGCCCCTATTCCTATGTGGCTCAACTACCCACCCCAAAAAACACTACTGCAATCAAGTCAGTTCCAACTCACGGCCACCCTCCTTTAAGTGTCTAAGGTTGTAAATCTTTATAGGAAGAAAGATTCTCCCTTGGAAAAGCTGGTGGATTTGAACTGCTGATCTCTTGGTTAGCAGCCCAACATATTATGCACTAAGCCACCAGGATCCTTACCCAGCCACAGTGGTGCTACCCCCTGAACTCAGCACCCAGGGCTGCAGTGTGTCAGTTAAGTGCTTAAAGAGGATCCATCCAGAGTTCTTCCCTTCAGGAGGCACCTCAGGTGGAGCAAGGAGAGGCCAGGCTGGGAAGTTAGGTCAAGCTCTGTTGTGTTCCTTTTTTTTGGGGGGGGGGCTATGAGTCCCATCAGAACAAAGGTCCTGGTACCCAGCCATCTCCACCCCCCTCATGCTCCACCTGTCAGCTGCCCTGGGACTTCTTTCCTCCCCTAGTGGCCTCCTTTCTTGCTCCAACCCAACTAGCCACCTGCTGCCCAGCGCGAGTCCGCCTTCCATTGTCACAAACAGTCCCTCAGCACTTCCTTATATTAGAGCCATTCATTTCTGTCTCCCCAGTTAGTCTTTGATTCCCTCAAGGACACGGGTAATTTTTCATATTTCTGTTCTGTCTCCCTCATGTCCCAGCAAAGAACATGGAGATGTTGAAAAAAAAAAAAAGTACAAAACTGCACAGTACTCAGGGCACTTGAGTCCCAGGCTTTGTTCTGTCTCCAACTCAATACTCAGAACCCCAGTGTCCTCATCTGTTAAATGCAGGTTTAGACCCAATGGTCTGAAGGCTTCCTTCCATTTTGATGTTCTGTGAGCCACAGGGCTGTGGTCCTGGGAGTTGGAGTGAGGCAGGGGGACTGCTAAGTGGAGCATGTGAAGGGAGAGAGGTGGGAGCTGTTGGGGCCCCCTTTCCCACCTCACGGTTGGAGGAGGCTCCAGTTCCCACCTTTCTTATGTTTCTCCTTCAGGACAATCTTGACTGTGGTGCTGCCGGTCCCCTTGGGTCGGAAGTGGCGAGAGATGAAGTCCAGAGGGGAGCTGAGGCCAGTGGGAGCTGGGGTGCTCAGGTCTCTCTTTCTCCCACCGTCACCTGAGCATGGATCCTGGGGATGTCTCTGCAAAAGGCCGGGAGCAGGAAGATCACTGAGTGAGTGCCCCAGGCCCCTGCTGGGTGGAGGAGCATGGAGACAAGAGGGCAGATGCTGGCTGGACTTCCTGTGAGGAGAGGGCAGCGGATCATCCGGGCATAGAGAGGAGAGTCCAAGGCGGCCCGAGCTACTTTCAGAAAACACGTCTCTGAAGAGTGATTTGGAAATCCAGCCTCCAGCAAGCCATTCTCAGGCTTTGTCTGAAGCAGGGACTTTGGATGAAGAGAGCGGAGAGGTGCTGAGGTCTTGATCTTGGAAATATAACTGATCAGAGACCTGTATGACTTAATATTTAAGAAACAAAACGTTATAATATAGTTAAGCTTAATGCCAGGAATCTCTTCTCTGTCTGAGATTGAGGTGATGAGACCAGGAAATGGACTGAAGATCCCATCAGGTCCCAGAATCCATGGGTGAGAACACTAAGAGCTAGGACCATGCAATGAAAAAGTTTCTCCAGGGCCCTGCCTACTTTCCCCGGGTCCCTGGATTTTCAGACCCCAAGGCCCTGCCCCTCTAGATGCCAGGTCTTCAGAAGGATGGCAGTGGCAGCAAACTATGTGTGTTAAGGACAAATCTATCTAGGAGTCTGGAAGTGACAGGCCATGAAAGACGAGCAAATGGTTCAGTGCAATGGGCCAAGTTTGTTGTCTTCCTCGCTTCCTGGAGTTGCTCTCATTGCTTCTTCTATTCTTCTATGGCCTGTTCTGCCTTGTGCAGCTTCTGAATCTCTCCTTTGTAGTCCAAGTCTGAGCCCTTGGAGTGGCCCCAGCATAGATACACACACACAGGAAGAGGCTCCCAGAAAATGAGTGGAATACAGGTGGATTGCAGGTAAGAAGTCACTGGAGAGCCTAATCCTCAAAGGTAGATTGCCCGAGTCAGCCATTAAATCAGTAAGTAGCTGATCAGGCCCCAGATCTAAGCTTAGTTAGGTTTTGCTCAGCACAGTGTCTCCTAGGGGGAGGACTGGAAGCAAAGGGAGTGGAATGGCTGAGGTTCTGCATCACTGGACCCATCCAAGAAGGCTCAGCTGTGGGAGGCAGGACTAAATGGCATAAAAGAACCGATGAGTTAGCTCAGATACTCTGGGAATCTCTGGGAAAAGGAGTCTAGCTTCCTGTCCCCCAGAAGCCAGGTGACCCAGGTTGCAAGAGCAGGTAGAGTTGTTCACACTGGAGCCTTAGCACAGATGACAGGTCGGAACTCAAGGTAATGTGTGAATCAGTTTTCCCACCTCTTCTTTCTCACACCAGAGAAACCTGGGCAATTAGGCCATCACTCCTACATGAACTCCAAACCAAGATTGAGAGGGGCCAAGATAGAGGGCAACAGAGAAGCAGCTCCAGACGAAGTCAGGAGTAGGTTGGGGATAATTGGCTTAAGTCAGAGGCCATTCTCTTAAGGGAATGAATTTCCGAAAGGCAGCCCGAGTACAAGCTCTGGCTAGAACAAGGCCCAAGAAAGTCCGAGGAGGTAAACTGGAAAGTGAGGCCTCCTCCTTCCCTGTGTGGCCAAGCTGTTTCCTCTCAGATCCCTCCTAGCCCATCAACGATGGCCTATCTGGGTCAGGAAGAATATAATAGGGCTAATTGGAGCTAAGCCAGAAGGTAAGTGAGAAATGAAAACAATGAAGGGGATTGCCCACTTTAGAGTGGCTGAGATTTAGGGCACTGGATACCGGCTGTCCTCACTTCCTCTCCCGATTCTTCTCAGAGGTCAGCACTCACCGCTCCAGGATGTGACTGCATGGTGTCCTCTCCCGCTGGTTTCTCACCTGTGCCATCTAGAAACCAAAAAGGATGTGTGCTCAGCCTGGCTCTCCTCGGCCTTTCGGGCTGGAGTCCACTTCAGGCCTCCACTTATAGGCCTTACCCCTCTGAGTCCCAGAGCTGCTTCTGCAGGCCCACGTCTACAGCAGGTCCCTTTGCCCCAGTGGGAATTTATTCCTGCTTCTTATTAAAGTTCCTTTCACCTGCTGAGATGACTTCAGTCCCCCTGAATGGGCTGCTGTCTTGGTTTCCCTACACTGGCCTCCTGGTCACCGGGAGGACTGAATGCTTCACTGAGCCAATGCATCTTGCTCAGGTCTTTCTTTAAAGCTGCCTCTCCAGGACATGGCCCTCAATGCCTGTCACAGATGCCCTTCATGCTCTGTTTCCCATCCTTGCAGCTAATCCCTCAGGCAGCCACAATGACGTTACCAGGCCTTGGTTCACAGTACACACTTTACATATCCAGTGTCCTCTAGCCCCTCTGAACTCCAGACTTACTGTCCCGCTCCCTTGTCCCTCATTCCTCTGGAAACCAGCATACAGAACCCTCTGGAGCACTGCAGCTCCTATGACTGAGCAGGCAGGCTTCTCTCTCCCAAGTCCTTGCCTCACTGTCCAGCCTGCCTCCCACTGAGCATTGCTGGATCAAAGAGAGAACACAGGCAAGCGACCGCATGAAATCACCAAGGGCAACTTTTCAGCATTTGCACAGAGAAACTGAGGACCAGAGAGGGGATGAATTTGCAGGAGCTCACTAGTAGAACCCGGCCCTGACTCCTGGTCCAGTGGCCCTTCTGTAGCATCAGCATCTGGGGAAACACCTCCCTCCCCCAAGTCCTGCCTCTTCCAGGAAGCTTTCCTCCACAGCCCCAGCTCACAGGGGACAGTCCAGATGTCAGTGTCCTCCATTTCTGCTCAAGCCCAGCTTGTTCCTCACTAGATGATGTTCTGGCATCTCTGTGTTTTACAGACAATCTACCTGGATGCAGCTTGACTGATGCTCTCTGAGCCCCCATGGGCCCGGCCCTGCCATGAAGAAGACAGGAGCAGGAAACGTGCATGGTTCCTGCTCATGTGTGCCACTGCTGATCCTCTTGGTTTTATTTGCTTTCGGAGACTTTATCCTCTTTTTGCAGCCACTGCTGCAGTGCCTGCCTCTGCATGGTTTCAAATAAACTTCTCTCAAATTCAACCTGACAGCAGCTCTCCTTGTTGCTGTTACTGTTAGGTCCTGTCAACTCATAGTGATCCTGTGAACAGCCAATCTGAACCTTGTCCCATCCTGTGCCATCTTCATCATCTCTGGTACACTAGAGCCCATTGCTGAAGTCACTGTGTGAATTAATCTTGTTGGGGATTTTCCTCTCCTTTGCTGATCCTCTGCCTTTCCAAGCATGCTGTCCTTTCCCAAGGAACAGCCTCACCTAACTACATGTTCAAAGTTTGAGAAAGGAAGCTTCACTCTCTTTGCCTCCAAAGGGCATCCCAGCCACACTTTTCCCCAAGACATATCTGTTTGTTCATTTGGCAATCCATGGGATATTCAATAATCTCCTTCTGCACCATAACTCAAAGGCATCAGTTCTTCTTCTGTCATCCTTATCCATTGTCCAGCTCTCCGATGAACAGCAGGTGATTGTAAAGACCATGGCCTGAATCAGATACTCCTTAGTCTTCAAATTGATATCAGTGCTCCTCAGTATTTTGGAGAGGAACCTGACAGAAGACTTGTCCAATGCACTACGTCTCCTGATTTCCTGACTGCTGATACCAAGGGTGTTGATTGTTGATCCAAGCAAGGTGAAATTATTGACAGCTTTAATCCTTTCTCCATCTATCATGATGTTGACTGCTGGTCCTGTGGTGAGGATCTTTGTTTTCTTGCTGACATGTAATTCACACTGAAGGCTGTTGCATTTGATTTTCTTAAATTTCATCTCCATGTTCTCACCCCAATTCTTATCCCACCTCAGAGTACATTCTCACTCCAATCCTGCCTCCTGCTTGCAGGGCCTCCTAGTGTCCACATATACACAAACAACAGGACGGTGTGAAGAATAAACATCTTTAGGGTAAACATTTGGCCAGTAGGAACTCGTGGCTGGTGCATAAATCCTTACCTCTTCCTCTGCCACGCCCAGGCTTTTCTGAGACACAGAAGACTACATTAAGCACATAGTCACCCTTGACGTCAAGAGAAGGGTAGCTCTATAACACATTCTTGGGTTGCCCCTCCCTCTTTCTCTGCTTCCCTCTTCCTCTCATTCTTGCTCCCTGGGGTTACAATAAATAATAAGAGGCATCAGACTCCACAGCAGAGTTTCCTTTCAGGGGCCCAGGCTAAGGCGCCATCCTTGAGGAAGAAACGGCTTGCCACTTCATCTCTTGAGGCTGTAACAGCCTATGACTAGGTCTGTGGGGACAGGCACTGCCAGATGTCATGCAGACTCACCTTTGCAGGCCTGGCAACAGGAATCAGGCAGTGGGAGGGGTGCAGGGCAGCCCGGTTCAGGGCAGGTCATGAGACCACAGTAGATCTGGCCCTCCTGAAAAAGCAAACACGGGTCGAGACTTGATCTCTGATGGCCAGACTGGGGAGGGGGGGCAGAGAGCACCCTGCCTCAGGGGTAAATACTCTGATGGTCTCCCCGGAGGTGAAGCCTCCTGGGCAAGGTCTGGCCCATTGAGAAGAGGAGTCTTCTGTATCCTACCCACTCCCATTCCATGGCTTGACAGTCCCACTCGTTTCAACTTTCAAAATGCTTTGATCCAATCTCTCCCCACATTCTTGAAGCAAAATGGTAAGGTGGAACTGTTGTTATCCTCCTACAGGTGAGCAGAGCCTGGAGAGGGGCTGGAAACATCTGAGGTCAGAGAGACAGCTGGGCCAACTGGACTAGAGCTCAGGCTTCAGTATTCTCTCAATGAAAGCTATGTCCTTGCCTTGTGGGCCAAATAGGGGGCTCAGCATAGGGGAGAGGGGAAGATCAGTAATACCTAGGCTCATCTTCACCTGCTCTTCAATGTTAGGACTCACCTGCAGGAGGCAAGGCTGCAAGGGGAAGAGCCTTCTGGGAGTCAGGTAGCCATAGCCCTCTCGTGAGTCACTTCTCTTCTCTGGGCCCAAGATCTCCCCCTATGAAATGAGGTGCTCCCAGCTGGGTTGTGAGGATCAAACTAGCTAATTGATATGAAAAATCCTGTATTCTTTTCCCAATGAACCTGAGAAGTAAGGTTTCTGACCTCTCTCAGATGTGGCTAGGAGTCAAGTCAGCCCCATATAATCCAAGATGAAAAGAAAGAGGAAACTCAAGTCTCCAGGGTGAAGGAACAAAGGAATCACAGGAGTCCCCTCACTGAACATAATGTCAGGGGACATTGAGATCATAGTACATGCAATGTCCTACATGGTAGTTTGGGAAGGAGCATCTAGAGTCTTAAAAGCATATGAGTGGCCATCTGAAATGCAATGACTTGTCCCTTCCTGCCCAGAGTAAAGGTGAGTGAAGAAAACAAAAACTCAAGGAAGGAATTAATCCAGTGATCCATGGCCCAAGTGTGCCATAGCCTTCTCTAGCCCAATACCAGAACTATATGGAGCCTGGCTTCCACTATGATTTGTTCTGACCAAGAACACAAGAGAAGATCCCACTTATAACATAGAACAAAACTAAAATGCATTTTTTTTAAAAAGACCCAATTTAATGGTTTGATAGAGATTAGAAGATCCCCACCCCAAGACTATTGCCCTAAGTCACCTTTCTAATGTGGGAATGAAGCCACTCCTAGAGGCCATCTCTCAAACAGTGGTTGGTAAATTAAAACTGCCAGTTTTTTTGTTAGCAAAAAGACCCTAAGCCAAGCCGCATTGCCACTGAATCAGAATTGACTCGTAACTGACCCTCCGGTGGATTTCCAGTGGCTATATATTGCATGGAAGGAGACTGCCCAACTGCTGGATTCAAACCACCTGCCTCTGGGTTTATAGTACAGCTCCTTACCCACTAGGCCATCAGGGCTCCTAGAGCTCCCTCCTAATCCAGGCTTCTATCATTCTATTGGAAGTAGCATAATACAATAGAGACCACAAGTATAAGAGTCACGCAGGCCTGGGTGTGAATGCTGGTTTTTTTGACTCACTAGCTGTGTAACCTCAGTCTAATCACGAACTACTTTGAGTCATGGTTTTCATATCTGAAAAATAGGAATAATAATAACCTTGTAGGGTTAATAGGACACTGTAAATAAGCACAAGGCATCTATGAACCTAGATAAAAGGCCAAATTTACTGTCCTTAAGTAAATTCTGACTCAGCAAACCTCCCTTGTTGGGTTCCTAAGGCTGTAAATCTCTAAGGAAGGAGACTGTCCATCCTTATCCCACAAAGTGGATGGTGTATTTGAACAGCTAGGCTTTTGTTAGCTGCCTGACATGTTACATGCTATACCACCTGGAATCCTTTCAATGAACCTAGTAGGAACAGTATACTAGATCATTGCAAGAGGATCAGGTCCTGCAACAAACATTCATCTGGTTAACTTAGAAATCATTATTCCATTATCTGTTAATAGATGCCTTAAGATTCAGAATCTTACACAGATGAGACCCTAAATTCATTTCCTAGGTCTGCTATAACAACAGATATTTATTCTCTTAGTTCTAGAGACATCCAAGGTCAAGGTGCTGGCAGGGCCATGCTTCTTATAAAGCCTCTAGGGGAGGATCTTTCCTTGTCCCTTCCAGCTTCCAGTAGCCTCAGATACTTTTTGCCTTCCAACAGTGATGTTCCAATCTGCCTCCATCTTCATGGCTGTCTTTCCTCTGTGTCTGTATCTCTTTTCCTCTTCTTAGCAGAACACCAATCATGTTGGACTAGGGCCCACTCTAATGAACTTAAGTTAACATGATCAATCTACAAAGACCCTCTATCTAAATACATCCACATTCATAGGTACCAGGAGCTAGGATTTCAACTTCTCTTTTAGAGGACACAACTCAACCCACACAGACCTTTCCACTGGAAAGATGAGGAGTCAGGCCACGAGAGAAGTGACCATACAGTGAATCACGGAAGAGCTGAACCTCAAACACGGATCTCACAGTACCTTGTCTAAGTCTGTCTCATCGCTGCTAATTCAAATGATTGCTTTACACAGAAAGGACACTCCTCTCCCTTATGCACTTAGACAGTAAGAATCAGGGAAGTCTGATGATGAAGTAGTAAGGAAATCAGGAGGCCAAGACTCTCAACTGCCTATGCACAGATGAGGAGAGAAGTCCAGAGGGTTACACACTAAAGGGCACCTGCAAACCTGCAGCAGCGCTACACCAGAAGAGAAAAGTGACAATCTTTCTGATGAAGATCTGCTTGAACACAATCTTTGTCCCCTGATAACAGCAGAATAAGCCCTTCTTAGCCCTCAGTCCAACTCTGACCACAGACAAGGGTGTTTAAGCAGCTTCAGCTTCAATTATCTTTGTTACAAACAAGTCTGGCCTTATTTCTAGACGGAGGGCTAGGAACTGATTAGTCACTCTACCACTCATTCATTTATTCCCTTATAAATTGATCCATTCATTTCACGCATCCTCTGTGGGCCAAGGCCCGGCCTGGAAGCAACAGTGAATGCAGAGGAGAATAAGAGATATTCCTTCCCTTCAGTGGGGAAAAAGAAATGGACAAATCTCATTGCAAGGAGACAAACGGTGCAAGAAACAGCTCAAGGGGATGTGGGAGCCGAGACAAGGCTCATCTGCCTCAGCTAGGAGCAAGACACCTTGATAGCCCGTTCATTTTCACCTCATGGAACCAGAGAAGAACAAGAGTTCCCCAGTCCATGCCACCCTGGACCACAGCTTGGGCTTTTCAACCAGAAAGTTGAAGCTCTTACTGTGCAGCTGCAGAGAACACACTGGTTGGGCAGGCGGGCAGGGAATAGCTCCCGGGCACTGAAGATCTCTCCATGCTGGTACATGGTCCCATTGTGCTGGCAGGACTTTGGGGGAGCCCGGAGTCCAGAGGGGGTTTGAGGTTCTACAGGTGGAGGGATACAGGAGGAAAAAGAAAATAAGATTTCCCATGGATATAATAATTTTGCCAGAATTAGGCAACTTTTTTGAAGATTTTTTAAAATTTTAACCTATCTTGGCATTTCTACTGAGCCTTCCCGACAACTCCCCATATTAGCAAACCAAGATGTCCTGCTAATGTCTCTGTCTGACCATGTCACCATGACCAACAAAAAGGAAAGACAGAAACCTTAGCTTCATTGACAAGTGAGGCCCATGTAAGTTTATTCATTTCAACAGGTGTTCACAGACTACTTCCTAATGCTGGGGCCTGGGAGATAGCAGTGAACAACAAAGTCCCTGCCTTCATAGCGTTCCATTCTAGTGGGGTGAGCTGTGATACTATAGACTGTCTCTGAGCTTGGTGTAAGCTCCTGCTAGTCACCAGTTGCCGAGTCCTCCAGCCCCATCACCTGCCAGATTAGCCCTCCTTCTGCAAGGAAGAATAAGCCCTCAGCCTTGAAAGAACTGCAGATCTAAGGCTCATTCATTCAGTCAACATTTTACTAAGCACCTTCTTTGTACATTAGACTTTGGAAATGGAGTGATGCATAAGAGTCAGCCCCCTGAGGCAATGACACTACAGTACAGTAAGGGATTGGGAAGAAGGAAGCACAGGAACTAATCACTACTCTGAGTCTTGAAGAACAAGTAAACTCAAGATAATAAAGGGCCAGATGACAGAAAGAGAAAGGGAGTGAAGAGTATTCCCGTTCCACCCTCCCTAGACTGGACAAAGTGCTGAGGCCCTGCTCCCGAGGAAACCCAAAGCCAGGATCTTGCTCAGGTCCCCACAGGATCTCTCTCAGAAAAAAATGGCCCTTCCATGTGTAAATTCCACACAGACTTTCAGCTCACTGAGAGAGTTCTAGTTTTAGAACTTAAACTGAATTAAATCTCACTATCACCCTTTCCATTGACTTCTCTCAATGTCTGTTCCCACTCCTAAGTCAGCCTCCCCACTGGCTGACTTTCATTGATCATTTACTTGATAAGCCAATTTCTTTTTATGCCACCTCTCTTCTCTTACCTCTCCTTCCTAGAATCCCAGTCTCAGAGGCAGTTAAAGTCTTAAAATTCTGGAATCATAGACATTTCACATCAGGACCCATGGAGGCCCAGAATCTCAGCACTAGGAGGAATCTCGAGGTACATGTGTTGCAATTCCTTTAATCCTTTTCAACCCAGGGTGACAAAACCCTGGCAATCTCTCAGTCCAAGAGCACTGACCTCCAGTTCCACAGAGCTTGTCCACTCCCTTCAGAGAGTCTGGAGCCCAAGTGTGACCATCGGTCAGGTAAGCCTCTATTTCATTCAGCCACATTTCACTGTTTTCTCTCTCCTCCTGCCTTGCTGCATTTACTACAGCCTTCCACGAGATTTTTTTTCACCTCAGTATCTCTCTGAATAGTAGTGATATCCATGGTAGTAACTGCCCCTCTCATTCTAGGAGCCTCCCTCATGCAGAACTACTTCTTTAGGAGTGAGATCCGGGTCCACTGGGCAACAGGGAGGCTGGAAAGGTGGAGGAATGAGGTACTTACCAACACACCTGGGACAGCACTGCTGTGGCTCGGTCACAGGGTGAGGACAGTGGACAGGTGGGCAGTGGAGGCGGTAACAACTCACATGGGCACTCTGAAGGGGACAGTGTGGTCAGTTCTGGTTTCAAGGAGCCATTGCCTCCCATCTTTACCCGCCTCATCTCAAAACTGTCACCCCAAATGCTGGCCACTGCCCTGTGATGAAATTAACAATAAATCCAAGTATCTCCAGTCTTTCTCCCTTCCCGGCCCACTGAGGGGATCTTGCTCGGCCCATTCATCTTCATCCCTCCACCACCATTCGAGGAGGCCTAATGCAATCATGAGTTTACTCAGACTTAGGGTTCCCTCCATGACCTTTGAAGGAAAAGGTAAAGGGCTTGGCTTCTTTTGACATTAATCTTCGTGCTTTGACTATGCTATTAACTCCAAGATTCGTTCTTTTAACTGTGAGCCCAAGCCTTGTGGTTAACAGAGGGATGTGACATACGAAGGCAGGTGACTGGGATGGGAACAAGACTGAAAACATAACACAGAGAAGACTCTGAGTTTTGTGACCCTCCATATCCCCTAGATCTCTAAGAGGTTAAGATAATCTTGGCAAAGTCAGTGGGGCTGTCACTAGAGAAGGAAGGTTCCTTTTTTTCTTTTTCCAATTACAGCAAAGAATGGAACAGAGAAACATACACAGAGCAAGATGAGCAGAAATAGAGAAGCTGGGAATGGAGAAAAGGACAGAGAAAAGCCACCATTCCTACCGGAATGTTTTCCAACTCACTGGACAGTTTATCTGGTTTTACAAATCTTGCTTGTTCAGTTAAAAGGGTCAGTGTTTAGCTGAATGGGTGAGCAAAGCCACTCATATTAGAAGTTAGGATGCAGTAGACAGGACTCTGCAGCCTAAGGGAAAATCTGCTTTGATTATAGTCTTGGAGGAACCAAAGGATAGAGATGATCAGCAACTCTGCAGCAAGAAAAAAGGTGGAGAGGGGCTTGGAGCTCCAAGGGCGAGGAGCAGGGCTGAGGCCAGCCAGCCGTGTAATAAAGCCCTTTGCAGTGCAGAATATCTCTTAGGACAGTCAGAGTTCATGTTTTGAGCGGCTACTGGGTACTGGATGATGTTGTCAGGTACCATTGAGTCAAGTACAACTCATAGTGACCCCACGAACAACAGACCTAAACCCTGTCCTATTCTGTGCCATCCTCATCATTTCTGATTCAGTTGAGCCCACTGCTGCAGTGACTGTGTCACTTCGTCTCACTGCAGGTCTTTCTTCCTTCCACCTTTTGAAGCATTATATCTCTAGAAAGAATAACCTCTCCTGGCAACATGTATGAGAAATGAAGCTTTGCCATTCTTGCCTCCAAGGAACACTCTGGCTGCACTTTTTCAAAGACATCTCTATCTCTGTTCATTCTTTTGGCAGTCCATGGAACATTCAGTCTTTTCTCCAATACCACAACTCAAAGGCATCAGTTCTTCATCTGTCATTCATTGTCCAGCTCTCAGATACATAGCAAGTGACTGAAAAGATTATAGCCTGAATTAGGTACACTTTAGTCTTCAAACTGACATCATTGCTCCTCAGTGCTTTGGAAAGGTCCCTGACAGCAGACTTGTCTAAAGTAATATGTCTCCTGATCTCTTGACGGCTGGTACCAGAGGTGTTGACTGTAGATTCAAGTAAGATGAAATAATTCAGATTGTTGATGAGTCTTCCTACAACCCTGATGTCTCATTTCTCTTTATAGAATCCAGCTTCACTAATTATTTGCTCAACATACAGATTGAATAGGTATGAAGAAAGGATACAATTCTGATGCACACCCTTCTTGATTTTAAACTATGCAGTGTTCCCTTGTTCCAGTTAGACGATAGCTTCTTAGTTTAGGTAAAGATTTTGTAGGAGAGCACAGTTAAGTGTTCTGGAATTTCCATTCTTCTCAGTGTTAATCATGGTATCCACATAGTCAAATGTCTTTGCACTATCAATAAAACACAGATAGACATTCTTTTGGTAGTCTTTGCTTTCTGCCAGGATCCATTTGAAATCAGCAATGCCATGGTGCCACGAGATATTATAAATGTATGTATTATCTCACTTTATATTTGTGATAGCCCTAGAAGTAGGCTACAAATGCATAAAGAGACCCCTAACCAGTTCAGTAAAGTAAGCAGTGTCAATGGGTATTGTTCAGGGTGCTGAGCTACCTCTGGTGGCTGGAACTTGGACGTGTCCACTCATTTAGGAGATACTGTACGCTTACAGGACACCCAGCCCTCTCTAAGCACCAGAGAAACAGCATCCAATAAGACTAACAGCATTTGTGTTCTCAAGGAGCATATATCCTAGCAGCAGCAGATAGACTACTAAAAAAGTAAGTGAATAAAGGAACAAGATAATTTCAGACGTTAAGTTCACGATGCTAATAAAACGGGTAATGAGACTGTGTTGACAGGGCTAGACAATTTTAGAAACAACTGCTGGGAAAGGTCTCCCAGGAGGTGACATTTATGTTCAGGACTGTGAGATGAGAAGGCTGATTTGTGAGCTGATACCAGGATGAGCATTCCAGGCAAGGGGGAACAATAACTGCAAAGTCATCAAATGGGGATGAGTTTGAAGTGCTGGAAAAGGTGAAAGAAGGAGCTGGGGCAGAGTGGCTGGGGCAGATATGCAGTGAGTGTGGTGACTAAGGCAGAAGCTGGATCACCTGATGCCTTGTAACCCACAGCACAAACTTTGAATGTGACTCTAGAAGCCACTAGGCTGTTAAGAGAGAAATGACCTTGTTACATATTTAGGGAAAAAACCCCAAATCCAAACCTTTGGTTACTTTATGGAGAATGTATTGAGAAGAGGGATAGGGAGGCCAATTAGGGTTTCCCTAGTTGTAGCAACGTAAGTGAGAGAGAAAAAGCTGGTTTAGATTAGGAGGAGTAGTTACACTGGAGAAGAAGAGAGTAGACAAGGGGTTCAGGCTGCATTTTGGAGATATTGGCAGCAGACCTTTTGATTGAGGATGAAAATGTGTGCATGAACTTTGCAAAGAGGAGAAATGACTTAGTTCCAATGGGTCACAAAACTTGGACTTTCTCAAGTGGACCATGTGATATGTCTGGAATTTTCTGTTATGGTTTCCTTTCTGTTCTCTGGCTATAATTCATAACGAGCCTTCTGAAGAGGCTGATTGGCCTCAGATGTGCTAAGGAAAATTAAGGGAGGTGGTTTTGGTGGTGGGTTATGACCCTGTCTGGATCAGAGTTCTACTTGGGGCTTACATGGCAGAAGCAGTTGGGAATTGGAAAGACTAAGAGGAGTAAGAAGCCAGGGGTCAGAATCAGAGCCGCCAGCGGGCTGGCCTGCCTCCTCCTCTCATCTCCCAGGCTCAGGAGCTCCTCCTCTCTGCTCCCACCTCAGAGGAGTCGGACTTTAACAAGGGGAGCTCTTCAAGACAATCTACATTCCTCCTTTGGGTTTGTGCAGGGAAAGAGGGTTAAGGGTCAGAATTCAGTTGGGAGCTATGTACTCTCCCTCAAACCTCAATCCAGGGACAGAGTATGGTGGACTTCAGACTAACCAGACTGGGTCTCAGGCTAATGCCAGAGTTTTCCCAAACATTGTAAATTACTCCCTCCTTCTGCTGCACCCCCCACCCCCACCTCGTACCTAACCTGAGAGTTCTGGACCACATGCCATGCTCATCTCATTTATGTTACGAGACAAAGTCCTGAAGATCTTGGGGGACAAAGAAAGATGTGATCTTTGCTCAGTTCGCCTTCTATCTTTCTCCAGACACCATGCTGGGTATAACTGAGACCAAGGAAAACCTGTTCTCTCAGGGACTCAGTACAGGAGAGGCAGCAACCAGAGACACAGATAGTATTGTGACACGGTGACAAGGTGAAAGACACAGAGACTTACATGCAAACCCAGAAGAGGAAAGCACTTTCAGATGAGGAGGCGGCAATGAATGCATATTCATTGAATACATATTTGGATCAGAGGAGATGGGAAAAGGCATCTGAGGGCAGGTGGCAGGAGAGGTGGCTGAAGGCCATGAAAAGGAAGGAATCGAAGGTTAAGGACCACTTCATTGCCCAGGAGGCAGGGAGGCTGGCCTCAACTTAAAGTGGAAGAAGGGCTAGGATGAATGATGGGAGCTAGGTCCTCATCCCTACCCAACCACCACCCTGCTGTGTGATTTCATTCTGAGATATTTAATAGTGATATTTAGCAGTGAAGTGGATTGTTCAAGACCCTCTGCAGCTGACAGAGCATGATTTAAGAGGCATTTCTCCTAGTGTGTTCCTGATCTCCAGAACTTCCGGCTGCCTTCCTCCTCCTCTGGAGTGACTTCTCTTGAGGTCTCCCAGACATACCTGACTCAGGTGACCAGATGAACTTACCTCAGAGCAGGTACAGCGCAGGCAGTACATTAGGCCTTGTGGCTCCAAGTAGGGGTGCCAGCTCTCGCCAGGGGAATATCTCTTTCCGTGGAAAAGACAAAACATATCTGGGCCTGGAAAACCAATCATTGCTAGGTTAATCCCAAGAGGCCTCAGCCCAAAGACTATCCTTTCTTTCTTTTTCCCCCCCCCTATATAGATCCTTTTATTACATTTAAACAGGACAAAAACAGTGATTCCAGAATTTCGAGTTGCCTTTGACTCACAGAGACTGTATGTCCAGTAGTTCTGAACTCGGCCCTATCCTGAGCCAGGCTAACTGACTCCAACACCTACTCCCGTTGCTCATTCACAGTCGTGGGTTTTGTTTACATAATTGGGGCAAAGAAAATCATCACCAGATTATAACGGGCTTCATCTTTTCTTTCTGGCTCTGGAAAACTATAATTTGGACCACTCACCTAGGCACAAGGAAATCTGTTGCTCATACTCTTCTGGAGAGGGAGTCAAAATGTCCGAGTTTGAATCTTAGCTTGGTCACATACTTGCCGTCTGACACCCTTGGCGCTCTCTGAGCCTCAGTCTCCCCACCTGCCAGGTCAGGGATCATGATTTAACGTTATGTCATAGTCTGCTCCTGCAAAGATTTAGTCTTGGGAACCCTATGGGATAGTTCTACTCAGTCCAATGGGGTTGCTGTGAGTTAGAATTGGCTCGATGGCAGTGAGGAGGCCTGTCTGTATAGGCAATAAGAGATAAAGCAGTAAAAATGCTTTACAGATTTAAATAGTGGTATTGTTGTTGTTGATTGACTTCAAATTGAGCATGACTCATAGTAACCCTATGAACTAAAAGCCAGAAGCCCCTCTATAACTATCGACATTTATCAAAGTTCATAGATTTTCTGGAGGGAAGTTGTTTAGGAAGTGGACCCCTCCTGCTTCCAAACCCGTCACAGAATGTTATTGGTTGAGTCACCTGTGATGCATAGTGACCCTATCTACAGCAGCTCTGAACCCTTTCCTGTCCTGAGCCAGTCTCACTAATTCTGACACACCAACCCCCATTGCCCCAGTTACTGTATCGATCCACTTCCTCCAGGGTCTTCCTCTCCTGCCCTGTCCGACTACTCTTCAGAGTATGATGTCCTTCTCCATGGACTGATCTCTCTTGGGCACATTCCCAAAGTGAGGTGGAGCTTCAAAATCCTTGTCTCCAAGGAGAGACTTGGTTTCACCCTCTCCAAGACAGACCTATTTGTTTTCTTGGCAGTCCATGGTATGCTCAAGATTCTTCTCCAGCACAACAACTTGAAGGCATCTAATCTTCTGTCATCCTTAGTCATTGTCCAA